GCATTACAATCAGAGATGGCCCCCAGAAAAACGAAAAAAGGGCCAATTTGGCCCTTTCCTTTTACAAGACTGCAGGCTTAACACAGGCATAATATTTTAGAAGCCATCCCAGGGCTAGAAATTGTGATCGATACGGTCACCAATGCAACAAGCATTTCATCCTTGGTGACCAAAAATTCTGGTTTAGTCGCCATAGTACAGCATAATGGTGACTACATTTCTCTGTGTTGACGATCAGTAACCGTTATTTTGTCACACATTACATGTATGTCCTTCTAGAAAATCATATTGAAAGATCTTTGTTTCGAAAACACTCAACATAAGAAAAGAAGTCAATCCATCCTTTTGCTTTGCTGTATTGATTCTCTCTTATCGGAAAACTTCCAAATGGCTGACCGAGTTTGAAATCGCCCTATAATGCATTGCAAACCTTTGATCATTGACTACGTCACGTAGGCCTAAGGATTGTTCTCTTGTAATGCACGGATCATTCATACTAGTATCTGAATCAAAAGAAACTTTATTGAGTAGAATCCCTTCAAGAAGCACTTACTATTAAATTTTATCATAGATCCTAATAAACTGCTTTATTTTCCTTGGTACCCTGATGCATTTTTCCCTTCTGCAGCTTTCAGTTTATTGGTCCCTTTCCTAAAAAATTGGCCCCTAAAAAAGATCTTCAGGGGCCACTTTGGCCCTCAAGTAGAATTTTCTGGCTGAAACACTGACATATGTTATGTAAGAATTGGTACCTCTTAGGTAAGGGAGAAAAAAATTTCAAGCCACCCCCACAAAACAGGATCTTGGTACCTCTTAGGGGTTCTTTTCAGAATTTCTGACGAGCACCCCCGTCCTTTTGATATGGGAGTCCCCCCCCCCCCTGGGGCTCCTCAGTACTCTTGTTAGTAAATTGAGAAGTAGCAGCATGCCTCAGGCTTGCTGATACATATTTTTCCTCTTTCATCTCGCACTGCGTTCACTTACAACCTCCAACCACAATAATGTCCAGTTAAATAAACAAATCAAGACCTTATGAACTACAGTAAAAAGAGGATTAAGTGAGTATGCATACAAATCATTCATAGAATTTTCTGTTGTTGTTTCCTTCATAGTATTGTTTAGGTAGAATACTTACAGAGAAAGTTTGGAAATATCTGATCAGGCTTGTCTATGATATAGTTACACTTGGGACAGCGATTGCTCTCTTCCAGGCTCCGTGTAATACATTGATAGCTAAATAGTAAAGCAAGAAAAATGTCATATATTTGACAGTTTTATAGTACTTAATATGTACTTAAAGTACTTTTATAGTACTTAGTAAGTACTTGCAGTGCTTATGCTAACTAAAATAATAAATGCAAAGAGTGTGCCTTGCAGTTTAGAAGTAGCATTATTAGCAATCATTAATCATTAACAAACTGGCAACCCATGCAAAAAGAAAGACATTCCAGGTGTGTTCCAGGTGTATTTACATTTGGTGTACATGTAACTTAACTGTAAGAGACAGTAACAGAGTACATGTATGTGTACTAAACATTTTCCACTAGAGTATTAATTGAGCCTTTTTGTATGCTTGGTCAATAAAGGATTTATTACATGGAAAAAGAACACTATTTTGTTATGGGAAAAAGTGGGTAATCTAGTGCCATCTTGCCCGCTCTGGTAGCTATTCACAGTTCATCTTGCCTGCACACAGAGCTACTTGGACAATCTAAACGGAAAATTAAGAACAACTCTCCTCCCATTCCAATGATGGAAAAAATGGCGCGTTTTGGTTGTTATGCAAGTTCATCATTGATTTGGGGGGAGGGGTGGCTTTATTTCTTAGTTTATTCTGACCAAGATTGTAGCCATATAATAAATATGGGTTATTGACCAAGCATCAGGCCAAGATGGCCGGTTATTGGCCAAGTTCTTTTTTTGCATGTTTATGGAACAAGACAAAGTGGAGGTCCATAAACACGCCAAAAAATGAATGAGGCCAATATCCAGCCATCTTGACCAAACAAGCTTGGTCAATAAAGGATTTATTATATAGAAAAAAACCCTTGCTATTTACTTGTGGGACACAGCATGTAATCCTGAGCGGGCAAGATACTGTAGCCCTATCTTGCCCACTTGGGTAGCCAATCACAGCGTTGGTTAATCTTGCCTGCTCATGGAGCTAGCCATATAAGAAGTGTAAATACCAGTCACCAGTGTCACTCAGTCTCATAATAACATACTGTAAAGCTCCTACTGGTATCATATTAAACACAAAGTAGCATTTATAAACAGGTCTCCAGATGGAACTTGGTATGTGGAAGACATAATGTTAATCAAATCCGTGGACAGACATCAACAAGTAATTGTCTCGTAATAGCGTCGTATTGATCGTGTGATGATTAATTTAACATTTCAAGAGCACAGTGAAGTAAAATTCCGGGAACATACTTACACATGTCATACAGTACTGACACTCTTCTAAACTATGAAAAAAAGCTGCTCTCGAAACTCCTGCATTTCACTGCTAACACATTCAGTGTCGTTTTGTCATGCATTGCTAAGCTGAGAGCGGAAAGTATGAAGGCATTTAAGCGTAATTATGCAAGAAATTTAACTTTAATTAGCTTAACTGTAAAGTAGTATGCACACACAAAACTCCCGTTTTCCAAGAGCCTGACGTTTAAGGAAGTACACAGCATGCAGCTATAAATCCTTACCAAAACGTATGTCCACATTTCGTCATAAAAGCCTCATCGATGGTGTCAAAACAAATCGGACTGCAGTTTAAAAACAAAAAAAGTATTTTATTACAGGTCTAAAATCACGCAATATGTCCGGAACGAAGTGTATCAATTAACGATCACTTAAACAGGTAAAACACTTTCGATGAAGGAATTTGCTCTTACCAAACAAAATCACTGTTTTTATCGCTGAAAGAATTCATAATTCCACCATAAACTGGAGGATGCGGTCTCTTTCGGCGACGTCCAGCCCTCGTTTGACTCGCCTGACCGGAGGTCGAATTCGACGACGACAGTTGAGACATCTGTGCTCAGATTCTACACCAAAGAATTCATAAACGCTTGCTGTAAAGTACCATTCACATTTCCAAGTCAGGTTCCGGCGGGTGTTTGCTCTGTGAAACAAATGGTACAGGAAAATATTGACTTCATTCTAACAATATAGATTCTGGAGTGCACGTTTAGTTTGGGCCATTCTCGTACCCAGAGCCTCTCGTTAAAATGTTGTCTCGCTGACCACGTGACTAAGGGCTCCGTTTTCCCAAATACCCTTACTGGTAAAAGTTTCTTTGAGGCGTATTTTTTTTTCTTATCTCTTCTTGGATTTCATTTAGCCCTGGTAGAAAATTCAAACAAATCTATGAAACTTGCGCTCTCTTTGGGTTGTAGGCTGCCACCAAGCTTGTGTGATGAAAGAGGAATGGGTGGGTTACCAACATAGAGCTGATTGAATGACGAGAAAAAAACACTGAGTTTAACAGGCAAGCTTTACTTGGGGGCTAATTGACTTGTGTGGGGACCCGTGGAGGCTAATCAACTTTAGGTTGGGGGCTAATTGACCTTGGTTAGGGGCAAACAGGCTGGGGGCTAATAGACTTGCGGGGTAAGCGACCGGTTACCAACGGATGTCATACGATAGGCCTTCTACCTAGCATTACAACCATGTTTCCAGCTGTCCACACAGGACCTGCAAGCAAAAGTCAGGCAAATGAGTGCAAATAGGCCATTTTCATGTTCCCAGACCTACTGGACTGGAACTAGCTTGACAATGAGGCTAATGTGGGGAGTCTTTTTAAATGCAAATCACATTTTAATGATATTTAATGATATTCCTTGCCATGAGCCTCCATTGCAAGCTAGTTTCAGTCCAGTTCGGAGAATACGCAACTGGTCTATTGGAGAGTTAGCTCCATTGGGAATGTTCAAACTGAAAAAAACTCAAGAGACTGAGAACAAACAGACAACACCAGATGTTTTACTTCAGTTCATTTTATTGTCTTCAATCGATATAATATTACAAGAATCTATTTGAACTAGAAACTCTGTTCTGTTTGAAAAACAAGTATATATTTATTGATGTGATGTATAATACAAGACCTTGGAAAGGGTAAGGCTACGGTACACAAAAGTTCAAAAGAATGAAAAAGTTTGTTTCAAGGCAAAAAAAATAATATTATATGCTTCCATTCAAGTCCCAAGATGAATAAACCCAAAAATTTCAATGTTCTTCCTGAGAGAGCAAGGCGTGATTACTGAGATGGTCAAGGACTTAATTCTTGTGGTCGATCTGATTGAGTTAGCTACAGAAAACAAAGAGAAAATAGAAATTTAAGGAGGAAAAAAGAGAAAGTGCATATGATATGAGAGATATGGATTGGACTGCAGTGTGTACGTTCTTTTAGAGACTTAGCCTGCCCTCTTTCACTTTGGGATCGCCACGCATTCCTTATCTCAAAAAACATGAAAGATTGTGTAACAAACCCAACTGACATCTACGTAAGCCAAGTAATTGAATAATTCAATTGGGAATGACATTAGAAAGTCTCAAAACGGTTTGGTATTTTCCTTTGCAGTTTTTAGGTTCTGAAAGTGTCTGCGATTATTTGCCAAAAGTGAGCCACATTAAACTCTACGCTTTAGTTTTCTGTTTACTAAATTCGCATTATGGCCAGAAAATTTTGTTGATTTTTGAACTAATCAGGAGTAACGCGGCAACCTGGCTTTCGTCTATTTTCCTGCATTTTGCTGGGTACACATTTTTACTTTACCCTGACTGTTCTTACGATACAGTTGAAATCCACTATTTTGAACTCTCAGGGGAAACAAGAAGTAATTCAAAATTGCAGAAGTTCGAAAGAGCCGATAGTAAATGACTGAAGGGCAAATCCAAGGGAAATGGTTTTGGGGTTTGAAATAAGCGAGTTCAAATTAGAGGGATCTAACTGTACTATTATCTGTTGTAATTGACCAGATGCGATCAACTTTGATTGGTTTTTGTTTGGTGGCAGTCATTAGGAAGATCTAGCTTGCTTCGCCCTTCTCCTCCTGCAAGAGGTCTGAGGTGGTACAAGAAGAAATTCCTACCCAGGTACAAAAGGAACTTGCCAGCACATAGTGCAAAATAAAGCAACTCAATAGTCCACAGCTACTGTGTAAAATAACAGTGACAGTTCCAGACACTAAAAACGCAACTATGAGAAGTTTATAACACTCCTGATTATAAAACTGTAAAGCTGTACACATTCCAACAACCATGGTACAATGCAGAAGCTTCAAAAACTTGTGCAGCGTCTGTTATGAATCGGATTTCCAGATCTTTATGGTTTTGTCATTTTCCAAAGCACCAGATGCTATGATATTTTCTGTCGGATGGCACGCAGAACAAAGGACCACATCTAAAAGACAAATTGACACTTTTAGATGATGGAAACTGGTAAAATACAAAACATGTTTCTTTGAATTTTTCCTCTGTTGGAACAAGATGCATTTTGTAAATAAACCTAGGTAATACAATTTTACAGAGGTGCTGCTACTTGTACTAACCACTCACTCTCACTTTTTTTTTCTGAGATGTGGTACATGAGTACTTAAGGGGTAGACGACTTGTGCTCTAATCATACACATACACCCATGTAATTGCCAAAGCTAACAAATTAAAGTCTGTTTGTGGACAAGAAAAGATTTCCTCTTGGCATGGAGCATCTATATAATGGCAGCTTACACAGACAGCACACCTTTTTCATCAGACCAAATTTCAACTGATCTTACATCATTAATTTTTCATTCATTTAATAAGTTAGTTTGTTACAAGAGAAACACAAGAATTGAATCAGGACCCCCACATCATGTCATTTGCCACACCTTGCCTTTGAACGGATGTTCTTTCCATGTCAATATTGTCAAGATAGGTAGGTTATTTTATTTTAATCCAAATGAGTGAAATAACATACCACTATGCCCCTCTAGCTTCTGTACCACTTCCTTGGATTGCAGGTTCCAAATATACACCATATTGTCTTCTGACCCAGATACTATCCACTACAACATTAAAGTCAAAATTTCAGTGAGGAAAACAAGTTCAACCAATTGTCTACTTAACAATAAAAAAAGCCAAGTGCATTGTTTCTAAAATAGTGTAGCCAACAGAAAATACAAAACATTAGGGTGCTACTGNTGCTACTTGTACTAACCACTCACTCTCACTTTTTTTTTTTCTGAGATGTGGTACATGAGTACTTAAGGGGTAGACGACTTGTGCTCTAATCATACACATACACCCATGTAATTGCCAAAGTTAACAAATTAAAGTCTGTTTGTGGACAAGAAAAGATTTACTCTTGGCATGGAGCATCTATAGAATGGCAGCTTACACAGACAGCACACCTTTTTCATCGCACCAAATTTCAACTGATCTTACATCATTAATTTTTCATTCATTTAATAAGTTAGTTTGGTACAAGAGAAGCACAAGAATTGAATCAGGACCCCCAAATCATGTCATTTGCCACACCTTGCCTTTGAACGGATGCTCTTTACGAGTCAATATTGTCAAGAAAGGTAGGTTATTTTATTTTAATCCAAATGAGTGAAATAACATACCACTATGCCCTTCTAGCTTCTGTACCACTTCCTTGGATTGCAGGTTCCAAATATACACCATATTGTCTTCTGACCCAGATACTATCCACTACAACATTAAAGTCAAAATTCCAGTGAGGAAAACAAGTTCACCCAATCGTCTACTTAACAATAAAAAAGCCAAGTGCATTGTTTCTAAAATAGTGTAGCCAACAGAAAATACAAAACATTAGGGTGCTACTGTAAAAGTGGAAATTACAGAATTAGCTTCAAAGTAGTTTATAATGCTGAAAAAAACCAGGAATTGAATCCCATCTGAGTGTTAGCCCTAGATGGAAAGTGAAGACCACACAAGGCAAAGCCAGATTAACAGGAAGACCTCTGACCTGATTGCCATTGCAATACGGACTGAGCTACGAGATCAGATGGAGTAAGTTGTGAGTTATTATGGTCACCATGGCAATTCAAGCCAAGGTAGATATTAAGGGTACAACAATATTGAGCCATGCGGCATTGGTATAGTCCAAGCTTGAAAATTAGAAAATCAACTCTTGCGGGTTGGAAAATACCCTGTTCTCTGGGTTAGCACTAGAAGGAATTGGAGATTGCATGAAACCAATTGAAATTTCTGTTCTTCAAATGTAAATCAAGAGGTAAAACAATCTGGCATTCAATAAACAACATATCAATGTTGCCAAACCTTGCCCCCTGTAACAGAGAAATTGGCAAATATACAGTATTTTTCATTCTTGTGACCAGTGTAAGTCTTCAGACACTTTCCTTTGCTGTAATCCCATAGTTTCAGGGTGCTGGAAAGAAAATTTCATTGCAAATATGAGTTCAAGTTACTGTAATGACCTTTTGTACTTTGCCATCAACAACTACATGTACAACAGAACAAAATTAGGCAAACAAACTCACTTGTCTAACGTTGCTGCTAATATGTACTTTCCATTAGGAGAAAATTTCACAAATGAGACTGGTGGATTGTCATCATCTGAAATAAAAAAAGTAAGGTTTGTTCATTAACAAGTCATTACTTTTGTTTGACAATTTGATTGTATACAGCGTGCTCAATATCGAGGGACTAACCTATTAGAGTCTTGAGGCACTGTCCAGAAGCTGTATCCCAAATGCGACTAAGGAGAACAAGTACAAAGTAAATCAAACATTAAATAGATAACATTGTGACCTGGAGCTAGGTGCACATTGCACTGGCCGACAAAGCTGTTAGGCAGCAGAGTGTGTAGGTCTTATGTAGCACTTGGCATGAGGGAGATGGGTGAGGGTGGAGGCAAAATAACATTGTAACAACAAAACAAACCATGCAAGCAGTAAACCTACCAAAGGCCATCATAACTGCTTGATACAATCAGAGCACCATCTCTGTTGAAATGAACCTGAAACAGTAGTCATACCAAAAAACACTAATTAAAAGCATGTAAAAGTTATCATAAAAACTTGCAAATCAACTCTTGCAACAAACCTGTATGCAATAACCGACTACCTTGCCATGCAATGCAATCTTTTATGCAACTCATGTTGCAACTGTCACAAGAGATACATGAAACACTGAAGTTTTAGTATGTTATAATTTACGTGTATGTTGCAAATAGTTTGTATTTTGAAATGATTGTCACTTATAAGGCAAATTTCACAAAAGTCTAAAGAAGTAATAAAACCTTTTTTGCAATCTTGTTGTAAACACAAAAAATACTAATGCTAGCACTAAATTTTACATATTCAAACATTCCTTCTTACCGCTGTAACAGGATCTGAATGAGCAGGTAATGTCTTTAAGCACTTTCCTGTCTTGACGTCCCAAATGCGTACACTCTCATCAAACTAGTACAAGAAAACAAAGCAGTTTCAAAGTTGAGCAGCACAACCTGTCCAAAGTCCTGTCTATCACACACCCTCCCCATCTTAAACTATTTTTTTGTTTCCTTGAGAGTTCTACTGTTGTACATGTAGCCATTTATACATGTAAATCAAATAATTAATTTATACATAACAAACAGTATTACATGTAATAATACTCACAGAGCCAGACACAATGAGGTTAGATTGTGGGTTGAAGTTACAACAAAACACATAATTGCTGTGTCCCTTGAGTGTCTTAAGGCATTTTCCCTGTAAAAAGAACATGACATCCTAAGCATTGTACAATGATACATACTGCATGTTTTAAAATTAAACAACTTTTATTTCACTGAAAGTGAAAATATTCCTGTATACACAGACATTTAGTAAAATACATGNCACTTGGCATGAGGGAGATGGGTGAAGGTGGAGGCAAAATAACATTGTAACAACAAAACAAACCATGCAAGCAGTAAACCTACCAAAGGCCATCATAACTACTTGATACAATCAGAGCACCATCTCTGTTGAAATGAACCTGAAGCAGCAGTCATACCAAAAAACACTAATTAAAAGCATGCAAAAGTTATCGTAAAAACTTGCAAATCAAATGTTGCAACAAACCTGTATGCAATAACTGACTACCTTGCTATGTAATGCAATCTTTTATGCAACTCATGTTGCAAATGACAACTGTCACAAGAGATACATGAAACACTGAAGTTTTAGTATGTTATAATTTAGGTGTATGTTGCAAGTAGTTTGTATTTTGAAATGATTGTCACTTATGAGGCAAATTTCACAAAAGTCGAGAGAAGTAATAAAACCTTTTTTGCAATCTTGTTGCAAACACAAAAAATGCTAATGCTAACACTAAATTTTACATATTCAAACATGCCTCCGTACCGCTGTAACAGGATCTGAATGAGCAGGTAATGTCTTTAAGCACTTTCCTGTCTTGACGTCCCAAATGCGTACACTCTCATCAAACTAGTACAAGAAAACAAAGCAGTTTCAAAGTTGAGCAGCACAACCTGTCCAAAGTCCTGTCTATCACACACCCTCACCATCTTAAACTATTTTTTTGTTTCCTTGAGAGTTCTACTGTTGTACTTTACATGTAGAATTTAAACATAAAATAATTAATTTATACATAAACAGTATCACATGTAATACTCACAGAGCCAGACACAATGAGGTTAGATTGAGGGTTGAAGTTACAACAAAACACATAATTGCTGTGTCCCTTGAGTGTCTTAAGACATTTTCCCTGTAAAAAGAACATGACATCCTAAGCATTGTACAACAATACATACTGCATGTTTTAAAATTAAACAACTTTTATTTCACTGAAAGTGAAAATATTCCTGTATACACAGGCACTTAGCAAAATACATGTTATGTACATGTAAAAAAAAGTAGAAAATAACAAATATTTGGATGAAGTTTCGAATGAATTAATTTAGGCTTTAAAGCTGAACCTTGTTTATTCAGTCTAAGAGTCAGGGTTTGAAAGCTGTCATAAAACTTACTGTGGCAAAATCCCAAATTTTCAGAGTTTTATCATCTGAAGCAGAAACAAGCAGCTTTGAATCTGATGACCAAGATACATCTGAAATACCCTGAAAAAAGGCCTCAAAATTAGTGCAGGTACAAGTAAGTTTCTACAGTCCACGTAACTTTGTCATTCCCTCATATTTCCCATTTCTTAATTTATAAGAAGCAAGAATTCTTTATTCTGTAGTATGGGAGAAGGGAAAATTTCAGACAAACTTTACTCAGACCCAGGTCTAGCTGGAGTTAAGTGTCTCTATTACATTGTATTGGAACAACCTCAACTAATTACAGGTCAGAATACATTCCAGCAAAAAGTCTTTTTATTGAGCCCCCTATTTCAACCCAAATCAATAAAATTTTAAAACACATGTGTATCTAACCACCAGGTGATCTGGGATTACTGTTATTGTAATGATTCGATTTAGCACCCAGGGCGTTTATTCACTTTTTGTACTTCAAGGGAGGGCACTTATTAGAGACAGGGCACTTATTCAGGACAGGGGGCTTATGTCTTTTTTGAGAAACAACCAAATATTCAAAACAAAACTTTAATACGGTTTTATTTAAAAAGGNACTGAGGCTAATTTCACTTGCCCACCGGACCACCAAACTTCCATTTTCAGTTGCCCAAGAGCCAAATTTACTTGCCCCAAGCAATTCAATTGAACCTGGGTTTTTTTTCTGCCCTGAATAATTGCAAACTATTCCCTATATGTATAGAGCAATTTGTGGAAATCTGCACGAACAATGTACTACATGTACGTGTATAACCTAAACCACAAGAAAGTTATCTGTCCTTAGTTGACTCATTCCCAGTTATCTCTTAGAAGAAGATTGTCATCACATATGTCATATGATCAATGACACAAAAGAGGTTTCTTTTTGAGGTGGTCTATAGAAGTGAATGTGAACCAAAGAAAAGTTTAAACTTCCCATAACTCTTGTTTCGAACCTGAAGTGTCTGCTAAGGACAAGTGTTGGGAGGTTAAAACTAACATTATATTGGAACATTATAGACTACAGTACATATGACCATGAAAATGGTCCATTTATGGGAGATGCAGTCCATAAGTGGAGGTTCAGATGTACACTAGTACAAGTAAATGTTAATTTTATTTATAGTATGAAATGTCACATCAAAAATACTTGTATCAATAACAATAAACCACTTACAAGAACTTGCTAGCCAGTCTCCATTTGGACTGAACTTCACAGAGGAAATAGCTTTGGTATGACCAGCCAAAGTGTACTTCAGTATATAGTTTGGCTTCTGCATGCAAGTAAAAAAACACTAGTTAAATAGATGTCTGTATATAAATTTATCCAACTGCAGCAAATACCGTCCAAATAACAGTGCAAATATACAATGATATTGTACAGTTATTTGTACAGTAGAAAACCTGTTTGCCGTGCAGGTCGGCATACGCTTGCAAAAATGTCACACTCTCCCTCTTTTCATTGATAAATTTATTAGGGAGTTTAAGCAAATCGCTACGGCTGGCTCTGATATGGCTGCCAGAAGTATATTTCCCCCAAAATGAGACACTGCACATGTACGTCGGTTGCATCCAGCCGTAGCGTGAAATCTGACTATGTGAGTCCGGATGTTTTGCCGTAGTGGCT